AACATGTTCATTAAGATATTGTCGGTTAAAGACTATTAACTAAAATAATGTCAGTCAATCAGCGACAACGTAGAACTTCGTACGTATGTACATCAGTTCGAGTTGTCATACCACATTAACACACAGATACAATTGTCGATTCATATCCCGTAATGGTAGAGGTAATATGAGTAAAAGCAGTAATCAGAGATTAGGGTTTGAAGATGTTATTCAAGGAGTATAATCCCGTAAAATAAGTTTGGAAAAATAAAAAAGGGACATGAAGAATTCAGAAGAATAGAATTTGGGAGAACACAAAATGTGGATGCACCTGCGCCATTGCAAACGATTTTGAGCCATACCATTCAAGGTCTCTAACCATCGGTTGCTATCGTCTCGCGGATCTCAACCACGTAGTCTACACCTGCCAACATGACTCGGTCCACTTGTTAGTGACTTCATGTATTTGTGCCATGTTTTGGTCTGGCCGCCCCTAGCTTTCTTCCAACATACTCCTATACCACTGAACATCGCACGTCGAGGCAGTCGGTTGTTGAGCATACGTAACACTTGTCCCAGCCATCTTAACTGATGAAGTTTCACTAATTCATCAATCGATTTGCCATCCTTACCTAGTACCTGTTTCCCAACAACTGCCTTACTTACTCGGTGGTCCCGAGATATACGAGCAATACTTCGAAGACACTAGTGGTGTAAGAAAAAATGTTTGGCGAAAACGTCACTAAACACGAAAATTAAAACCATAGAACTATGTTAGATATTTTAAAGTTATGAATTAATTTGGAGTCAATCAGATACCCTTGACTTCATTGGTTTGAACTAACACAAAAATGTTTCGCATGTACTGGTGACGAAACTTAGTATTAATAATGTAGTCAGAGAAACTAAACGATGCAGCATAAAACTGTGTCTGGTCAATCTCAAAGACAACCTTTGCTTAATATTCTTTACATAGTACATGATCAATATAAATTACAATAAAGTATCCCACCATGTATGCATTTTAAAAATCATTCTACATAAATCTGAGTAATTTCAAGTTATGATTGGAAATCTCTGCAATTTGTACATTACATCGATTATTGGGGATAAATAATCACTACAAAAGATTTTCTGCATGCTATTTACTACAGTCAGAATTTCGAAAGGTCTAGAAGTATTAACTTTTAAATTTATGTTGTTGTAAGATTAGATATCATAACAAACCCAGAGATAAGAGAACACAGATAGCAGCTTCTTGAAAATCAACTAAACAAACTAAGCAGTTATCAAGTTTTCAATTTTTTTCCACACTATGTAGGTTAAAGAATATATATATATATATATATATATATATATATATATATATATATATATATATATATATATATACTTTTAGAAGTAGGCCACTTAATACTTGAGTTTAATTCTAAAGTTGTTTTGCCAATCGGTGTTGTTAAGGTGAGAAGTATTACTAGATAGTAAAGATTTAGATCAAAATATCAACCCATTACTTGCTATTGTAATCGTCTGAAGTAAATTCTTATAAGATTTGAGTATTTTATTGGAGCTGAGATCATACACCTATTCCGAGTTCCAAATACAGAAGGAAAACAATAACGAAAGTCAATAACTGATGAAAATTCGGTTTTCGCGTTTATAGCCCTACAATAATAATGTAAAAAAGTGTTGGCAACGAAAATGATATTCAGAAATTGATATTGACACACCTCTTGGTGCAGCCTCCTGATCAGCTGATGGTTCAATTTTAGAAAAGTCAGCGAACGGATCGTCCTGTAAAAGAAACAAATATCAAGGCTAGTAGTAAGGACAAGTACATGTTCACAGTAAACAACTGAAAAGTTATTTAATAACAGGTCAATAACAGCGGTTTAGTCAAATAAGATCTTGCTACTCCAAATAGTTTACAATAAAACATCAATAAATAAATAATTGATACCAAATGAGTTTTGTGGATATTATAGTAATTTCAATGGTTAAGATAATGAGTCAGTTGAAGCTAGACCACTATAGAAAACCTGGAAGCACTGGACGGCCGTTAGACCTATTGTGGGACTCCACAGCAGTGTGCACCCACGACTTCGCCCCTGCGAGATTCGAACCCAGGACGTCCTGGTTTCGCGCACGAGCACTTAACCACTGAGCCGGCATCCAACGGTGTTAATGTTTAACTTCAACTAATCCACGAAATTGAGCGGCACATTCACCATTCTTTTCAGTGAGTTACTATCTTACAACGGACCTGGTTGAACTCCACTGGTCACTACTTTTCACAAGAACTCCAGGATATACCTCTTGAAGTCAGTCACTAGTGAGCATATGTTGATTAATATCAGATGGGTTTTGTGGATATTATAGTAATTTCAACGGCTAAGATCATGAGTCAGTTGAAGCTAGACCACCATGGAAAACCTGCCGGCTTAATGGTCTAGAGCTCGCGCGCGAAACCAGTGCGTCCTGGGTTCGAATCTCGCAGGGAGTGAGGTCGTCGGTGCGCACTGCTGAGGAATCTCACAATAGAACGAAACGTCAGTCCAGTGCTTCCAGGTTTTCCATGGTGATTTAGCTTCAACTGAATCATGATTTTAACCATTTAAATAAATAATTACTGAGAAAATTAGAACAGTTATTTTGCCATGGAAAGTAATATCCAATGAAAGCACTACCGAAACTTTCACTGGTTCTAAGAATAAGAACATCATATAATAAAAACGATCAATAGCAGAAGCGCTGAATGCTCCCGTTAGACACACCTGTTAAGCGTGAGCAAGCTCTATCATTTAGCTGCAAATACTTTGATTCTACATATTTATGACTTTTCGGCGAGAAATTACGGCATTTCTGAGACCATTAACGCAACAACTAGAAACTACCTACTCTACAGACAAAGTAACAAAGTGAGGAATTTTGGCAGATTACAAAACTAAAACTACAATAACACATGCCTATTTATTTGATTTGAAGAAATATATTTCGGCAGAAAAATTTCATACTATGGTATCCTAAATGAGATCAATCAATGACGAATACAACTTACAAATAAAACCAATTCCCATAAAAACACTTTATCTAAACCATTTCTATGAAGTAAAAATCCCCATGATGTAAATTAAAACGACAAATCTGAGCGAAAAATGTTTTATACAGGATTTACTCTATATACAGAGACGTATTTTCATATGAAAACGATTACACCAGTTAAGGCAATTTATGGGTCAATTATATTAATGGAACAGATTACGTGGCTAATAATAATCAGTAAAATTTGTCGTAATATGACATGTGTACTAATCTTGACGAGAATAATAACAGCATAAATGATTGATTCAAATAGGAAGTAGGTCAGAACAAATAAAAATCAATGGAAAGTTCGATGCGCAACATCACATATTGATTGGAGTTAGATAAATAAACCATTGAATGCTGGTTCAATGGTTCGAATTCTGATCACTCGCTGCAAGATTTAAATTTTTTAGTTTTGATCCCTATGCGATCGTAGATGCACTAACATGAGGAGTTCATACTAAGTCGGAATAGCAGTCCAGTGGTTTCTGGTCCTCAGTGATTGTCTAACCAAGGTTAATTCCTGATATGTTGCCTCACCACATGAGCATCACAAGACTAAATTAACAAGACGAATTGCAGAGTAGTAGAAGTAGTCAGATTAGCAATTTCGATAGAAAAAGTCACCCATAGACGACATGATCCCACAAGATAGACGAATCAGTGGACTTTAAAAAGTATAAAACGATTTCTAAACTCAGGATCCAAGGATATTCAAAGAGTAAATGCATCTGCAACAATGCAACCGGTTTTTAGCCATATAACCCATTGTCCCCGACCATTGATTACGATAACCACATGAAACCCAATCAGGTGAACTGAACCTACCAACACGGTTCGACTGAACTCTCAGTGACTTCATGAACTGATACATACGTTTTGTTTCGGCCGCCTCGCGCTTTTTCCAAACCTAATTCCACATCAGCCAACATCGTACATCGAGGTATATGGTAGTTGAGGATATTTAACATGTACTAAATATTTCAATTGATGAAGATTCACTACCACATCAAGCGATTCGTCAATATTACCGTATGCCTTGAGTCAAACCCCAGCGCTATACACTCAGTGATCTCAAAATATGTGTAGAATCATTCGAAAATATCTAATCGGGTACCAGTAACCTTTAAATGTCCTCTATTTTCAACAGTTAGATTTCACAACCATAAAATAGAACACGGCGAACCGCTACAACGTAATTTCGTCCCTTTTTGTGAAACGGACATCTTGCCTACACCATAAGTAATCCAGGTTGGCAAGTCAGTCGAGCTCTTCGAATCGTGAAGAGATACGTAAATGATGAATAACAAAAACCAAACAACAAACGGTATGAAAAATTGGTAACATCGTTTATGAAGCTAAGAAAGAGGTAAGTGTTACGAATCTCTCTTGAACGCAGACTAGAGCTATGAGCTCGGAACCCTATGACTTTTCATGTGTAAGAGACAAGATAAAACCGTTGTGAAACTTCGAAAATATAGAATATACCACTTGGGATTATTTATTTTTATTTACCACATGGCTACTATCAACCAAGTATGATGAAATGGAGCTACAAAATTTCCCTTTCACCCCTTATCAAGCACACACAAAAACGTCCATTCATCCCTTGATTGAGTTGCGTGTTGTCAAGTGTTCTTCACAGGAGCAGCTGATATATTCGCATCGTGGACTTGTGAGGACGAGTGTGACAATAATTATAATACCCATTCTGACCTACTTATGTTGAATCACTTATTTACGATGCTATTATTCTTATCACGATAAGCACACATGCCATCTTACTACAGACTTTTAACACACGTTCTCTTAGATACAGAGAACTAATAAGCAAAAAGACAGAGTAAATTTCCAGTTTACTGACCATTATTCCATTTGATAAAGGGAAGTATATAAAATGAAAACAAAATTCAACTATTGTATTTTCTACTATGTACAAGAGGTCAATTATTACCAAGTGTAATTCATAAATTTACGTGAAACAATATATGATCATACAAGACTACACAAATTGAAACATATTAACACAAAACCTGCTGTTAAGCACAGTACGATATGATGCATTACTTATTAAAAAGAACCACTCACACAAAATAAATTTTGTCAAGTACAAAAACAATATTGTGCGATGGAGAAAGATCATTTGAAGACAGAATTTCTCATGCATAAGTTAATATTATTTTAAAGAAATATAGTTTTGCAATTGAATTTTACGGAAAGGTGTTTGTGTTTATTTTAGTCTTGGAATGAGTTTTTGATACTTTCTACTCACAAATTATATTTTTAAGGCAATTAAGTGATCATCTTACTTCACTGTATAATACACATTGATTTCAACTTGAAAAAGGTAATAATTATATTTGGGTTTTGTATATTCCATTAGAAGAATTTACTTTATATCATTACTTGTAATCATTACTTGAAAAATGATGCAATAAACGTTATGTAATTGAATACCAACCAGATTCAAATGAGTTACATTAGAAATAGAAAATTTTGTCAGAAACATTTCAAAACCAGTCAGAGATAAACAATGTATTGAAGGGCAAACGTACTTTAGTCTAGGTTCCTATTTGCCATCACTACATAGGAGAAATTAACAAAATGAGTGGCGAAAGAGTCCTGATAACAGTAGCATCAATGAGAAAGAGTAAATGCTGATGGATATGGTTCAAAAGAAAATAAGTAGCAAAGTATATACAAAGGAACACTGAAACTCTAGGTCAAACGGAAAATGAAGAGTGAAGAAACTTATGGCACTGAGACCGATTGTGAGTCATGTTATCCAAAATCGTCATCCAGTGATCGGATTCAATAAACAAACACAAAGCAGATAGTATTCGGCAACACTTAACATAGCTTAGTTTAACAATCAATGGGTTTATGGACTGGCGCGACGTCTTGATTTAGCCACTCATTTTTTGCAACCTACTCCTACGCTGTCCAGCATTATGCATCGAGGTAAGCGATTGTTGGGCATAGGTCACATGTTCTAGCCATCTAATTCGATGAAGATTCACACCCTCATCAACTGGTTTGCCATGCTTTCCTAGTAATCAACATTTAACCCACTCATTCCGTTGTTTCCCTATACATGATGAGTGTTTTATGTAGGAACTATGTGAAATCAAATGGGGAATGTTTCCTATACGAAAACAATAGCGTCGAGAGGCAAGAAAAAACGTTAAATGCATTGATTCAAAGTGTTTTCATCATCAAACCTGTAAAAATATTCGATAAGAAATTTTGATTTCAAACTGGTTGTAACTCATCCGTTATACGTGACCTTCACGATTTCATGAATATATGGATTGTGTACGATTGTATAACAAAGAAATTTCAAAAGATGGGATTTGAGGATTTCACTTGTTGAACCGAAACAAATGTACATGAGGTACTCATCCGCTTGGTTAATGACAATTAAGCACTTGAATGGATAGTATAGTATTTAGATTTTACCGTAGAATTTATCCGAAAACCTGGATATCAAAAAAACTATTATTGAAAATGAACAGAAAATCATATAAGATATGTGGTACTTAGTTTCACTAATATATATATATATATATGCAGAGACAGGAAGGTAGGATATGGACTGTAAATATTCGTACACAGTAAACTTACTTTCCGACCAACATCCAGTTCATAAGTATGAATAGAGTATATGTCGTGATTATCTGAGTAGGCAAAAATAGGATAAACGCAGAATATTAGATACATAGTAATCATGGTTATCAGAAATGAAGAAATGCAGGTCGTTACAGATAAACAATGCCATACTTACGTGACACTGTCAATGTAACGAAAAGCAAAAGTCATAAAAGATGAATACACAAAACACGGTGGAATGAATATAATGTTAACTTTGAAAAGAAAACTGACTCCATCAACTAGTCGAACTTGCTCTGTGTAACTTAGTTATTTGTAACTCTACTATAGATAATTACACAGACTAAAAGTAACGGCAAATAAATTTCACTAAATTCAGTTATGTAGGGGAAGGTTAACTTGATAACAAACTAATGTTCCAAAATCAAAACTACCAAATGAGTTAAAAATGATTACAGAAATTAATTTATTTAGAAGCATATGTGAACACATTTTGGTAAAGTGTAGCAAAGATCTAAATAAAGTCAAGAGAATGAACCATGTGTACACACCATATGTAAAGTATCATGGAACAATGATAGTAGTAAATAACTAGAAATAAGTAGTTCTGTAATAAACAAACGCAAATGAGAATAAAATAAGTAAAGGTCAGTTAATTAAGCATTAAGTTATTGAGCTACGAGAGAAATAAAAATTTCCTTACGTTATTACCTCATTACGCAAGTTCTTTTTCTAACCCTCTAACATAACTCGATAACCTTATATTTAATTAACCGAGCTTTATTTTGTTTTTGTAGGTAATCACATATAAGGCAGCCTGCTTGAATATATGGGCTACCTGTCCCTGCCATCTGGATATTTCAACAAATTATCTATTTTCTTGTTTGTTTTAACACATCATTATGCCTATTAGTCTCATAATCTATTCGGGTGCGTTTGTGAAAAGTTTACAACATTTCACTGTACAAGTCACAAAAGAGACATCGTGGTTGCTAGCAATATGCAGTGAAAAGAATATACAGTATTCAGATATCGATTCCTGTACTACTAACAACTAACTGGCGATCACTCAATAGTTATCGCAATGATCGACCAAGAAATAAGAAAAATAACTTGTTGAAATACATTGTGCTGAGAATTGTATATTGCACAAAAAATATAATATTGAATAAAACTAATAATAATAATAATAGTAATGTGTACAAAACCAACCAATGATGATTAAAATACATGGTTTCCAAATATCGTAGTTTGTCCAGGTGTATATCAGCAATAACACTCATACAAAAATTGTTTCAAAGACATGTACAAAAACTTGTACTCATTAAACGAGTAATATTATTACTACTTAACCTGGGATAACATATGTTAAATGAACTGAACAATAGCACTGAAAACATAACCTCAATGAAAGGAGGACCATGAAGAGCTTAATTTTATGACACCTCATCCCATATCCCATGTTCACCTCAATCTCATAAAACATGAAAACCTTTATAACGATTAAGCATGGATAGAAAAAATCTGGTATATCCGACCGAATTATAACCAAATTGACTGTTTCATATTAATTGTATTATATTTTGTTTTCAATTTGAAGATAATGATGTGGTGGTTACTTAGTCTAATCATGAATCAAATCACTTTTTACTTTATATTTTCAATTATTTTTATGCCTATTGGTTCGTTAAACTTCCTTTTTAACTAGATTACTGTATACATAACATTGAAATATTTATTTTCGCATTTTATCCTGAAATCATCATTCGATCATAACTGATTGCACTTAATTAACTGTAGAGTATTCAAAACTGAATTTTTAAGCACTTCACATAGTTATTTGATAAGACAGTACTAATCATAATATTTGTAAAGAATGCTCATATTTTACATATTTGATAGTAATGTCATATCAAATAATGTGTAAAAAACTGGTACTGAAGTTATGTGTACTTTAGTCAGACAGGAAAATGGAACTAGTACTGATTAATTATTATTGAAAACAGTTCACAAGGTGAATCAAAGAGATTACAATTTGTTAAATTAGATGTTTGTTGTTAGTTCATAAATTCTTCAGCGAAGTATACTTAAAACCAACCGATTAAATAGATCAGCAAAAATGGAGAAGAATGGTTTACAAAAGTTGATTTGCGTAACCAACTGAGCAACCTTGAAAGAATAGCGTAAGAACCCATTAAGTCCCTCCACTGTCGAAAAGTTCTCAGAATTTTTAGATAAATGAAAAACAACTACTGAGATATAGAAGATTGGTTCAACTCCTGAACCAATCTTTCCTGTATTTACATCTCAGTGAATGTATATAATCTATTTAGAAAGAAATTCACACAAAGAGATTTTAAAAAAGCCAAGGTATATTTTTAGCCCTAGTAATTGAAACAATGGTATATTACCTGAAAGGTCACCAGTAGCGGCTGATATTCCAATAAAATAGCCAGTAGGTAAACGTACTCCGTCAACTGTGAAACAGTCCACAGGATCTGTAGCACCTTGATATTTCAAAGAGACCTGAAGATTGAGAAACCCCATACGTAGTAAACAAACTTGTCATATACCAAACATTAAAAAAAAATAGTTCAAAATATACAACAATCTCAAGTTTTTGACACAAAAAAGTGATACATCAGTCATATTGTCACCACCAACAATCTGCATGTGTCATAACTGATTAATTATATACTTTAAGACGACTAGGTTAAGGAATTACTTTATTTCTTATCTAATATTTTCCCACAAATTTTCTCTAAGTAGAGACGTCAGTCGCATGGATATGCGCACCAATAAGTTATAGATTGTTTGTTTAGAAAGCAGTTATTGTGAATAGTTAGTGTCAAAAATAACCCTTAGTGGATAAACAGTAAGTTCATGAGACGCAAATCCAAGGTTTTTTTTTAGTTTATGGCAAAACATATGATCAGTAAATGATAAAAATGATATTAAACTATGTTTTATCAGTGAATGTGATATGGTAGGGTTGTGTTACCTAAGCTAGAAATTTACAGCAACTGATCTATTAAGTCCTACGGACGGAGGTAAAATTAAGACAACAGGACATCTAAAGTGCGTGATAGGAAGTGCTCTATAATAAAAAATTGGAAATAAAATCCAAAATTAACTATTTTTGATTGGATTTTTTAAAGAACTGTTTGCTACTGCGTTTAATTGACACAAGTATAGATCATGGGCTAAGTTTGCAACAATGTATTTAGTTATCATGACACATTTTGAGAGTATATTATTCGAGTCTACAATAAGTGTCAAAACATAGAAATAAGCCAATCCTACTGTACTTATACACTTGTTCAGAAAAACATTCAGTTAAAAGGCTAACCTTCAACTGGTTATTAGCGTAACGAATTGTGGCCATTGAGTAGTCATTATTACGAAAATTAGATGAACAACCAGATAATTCAGTTAAAGTTCCATCCTTATCATGGTCATAGTGTTTAGATCCATCGTTAATCATTGCGCTGACATAAGGATGCTCATGACTATGGTCGCCATTTTGATTAGCGTAAGTATCAAAGAAAACGGCCAACCCACGGAACTTATCCCGACTGCCGAATGCTGGTCCTATGAATACACAAGTTTAATTAGCGAAAGAACTTTAAAATAACATACCACTTGAAGGAGGATGTTGAGTATACCAGAAAGCAAATCCATCACCGACCAGAGTTTTGGGACTATGAACATGGAACAAAATAACCACCTCCCAATCACGAGCAAATAAAGGTTTTATATTGAAAATACCTCCTTGATTACTTTTTACATCAGAAGTTAGGCGTACAAACTGAGGTTCAATAATCGTTGATCCATAAGGTACCCAGTGAGCTATCAAAAAATTACATATATATATAACGTTTAAGTGATATATGAATAGCAATAATGATTGAATGTGAGTCACACCATTATTAGCCTTATTGCTTCAAATTCAAAACCGAAGAAAGGAAAACCTGATTTCTATCGAGATGATATGAAAACTACCTAAACCCTCGAGAATAGAAACCGATGAAATCCTACAAAACCATGAATTTATTCTGAATACTACAACACTCAGACAATCACTGATTTATTCAATCATAATATTACGGTAATATCGTTCAAAACAGGATACTGTCTCAGCTAAAACACAAGACATTATGGAAGGTTAGTAAAATAACTCATTTACTTCGCTAACGACAACATCTGAAATTATAGCCTTGGTAATAAGTTGGCAACAAATCTCCAGCACAAAGGCACAAATTAAGACTAACTTGGGGGAGAATCTCACTGAAATCATGAACCGACTCAGTTAGACCACCACTAAAAACTTGGAAACACCGGACGATTGTTTCGTCCTAGTATGAGAGAAAATGATTAAGAAAAAGTTAGAAAAAATAAGGCTACTAAAATCTATTACAGTAAACTGTGATAGGTAACATGAACTTTCAAACTAACGTGCGTGATGTTGTCAAAAATCTCGAGAAAACTCAGTTGGCGGAATATTTGTAACGGAAGTCACATTTTACCACTTTAATTATCAACTCTGCTTTCTCATATTTTGGAAGAGAGTACGAATGTTTGGGGAAATGGCTAACGATATGGAGGTGAAAAAGACCCTTTATCCTCTAAAATCAAATTTCCTGAGATTTAGCCCAGCAGTTTAATTTGGTTCTTAAATACTGAGCCAAAGGTTTTAAACCTTCCTTACTTTGTTTTCTGTACTTGTTCCCTTGTATAAAGTACAGGACTTAAAAAGTGAAATAAGTCACCAAGTTGCATCGGTTTGACATTTTCTACAATTTTATTTCGATGTCAATAACTACGGTTGAATAGTTTGCTATATTCCAGTGGTTTTTGTATTTAAAAAGTTCTCTAAGCCACTTCAGGCTTTACTACCCTAGTTATACAATGATAGAAACGCACAACAATATAGCACGTACAAAAGGCAATATACATCTGATTACCAATGGAGAAATTAAAGACATGAAACTTTTAGCGAATAAACAAAGAAACAATCATGCACTGCTTAAATGTTTGAAATCTCAATGCGGAAGTGTAAACTAATTTGTACCACAATTATCGGTTTTTAGTTTCATCATCTGAAGTTTATAGTTATTTCTAATATTTAGAAAGTTTGGAGAAACCTAATTTTGATAAATCGTTTACATCTGATTGATAAAGAGTTACGGATTTTATGTAAATATTTGGTTTATTCAGACGAGATAAACTCAGTAACCTCGAGAACTAGCCTTGTTGTTGTCTATTTGGCTTTACAAAATTCCATTTTCGCTGTTAGGACTGTATGTAACGACAGAGGTGGATCAAAGAAAAATAATAAAGTGGCCTATATACCTGCATTTTGTTCAATATTTTTAGTTTTAGTATAAAGAACAGACAGTGTGAACCAAGTTAATTGGCAAGACTAGGACTAGTGTCAAAATATAATTACAAATCATTGAGGAATAAGGAGTTAAGAATTAGGATTGATAGGTGAGGTTAAGATTTCTACCACGAGCTGACATAACCAATAATCCCAAAATGCTATTTAAACAAATTTCAAACACGAACCCAGCAGATGCACTGAAATTATAATCCTGCCAGCTAGTCTATATTAGTTGGGATTTCCGGTGTTCGACTTACATATCTGTTGTAGTAACAACATCGATCGTTGTCTCGAATGTTCATATTTTCTAATGATCAGTTCTAGGATATGTTGGAGGAAAATTTCGCAGTATTGGACAGTTGGTGTTGAAAAATTTTTGATGTACAAAGACAGGATACTAAATAATAGAAATACTGGCGAGACTATATTTCATAGACGAACCAATAAGGTATATGATAATAGGCCTCGGATATTTGCACCGAGTTCACTCATCCAATTTGATTAGATAATTTTGGTATTATAGCTGATGTCAGTTCGTGATGAAAACTCGAATTCTAATTCCTAATGTTAATTATCAACTGTAAAACGTGGGTCTAATTCCGCACATAGGTTTAGAACATTCATTTGGTCATAGATATTAGGTGGACGCTCAAGGTCAGTCTAGATTAGCTCAAAGGTCGTCCGTAAATGTCTCACCGAATAACTTTATTTCAACTCACATAACAATACGATGCTAACAGCTAATGACTGAGTTAATTTGCCACAGTACATAAACACCTATATCCCTTGTGTTTGTGTACATAAAAAAATTGTTTTTTATTCTGTTTGGTCTTTTGTAGTCCTATTTTTAATACCTGGTCATTTTGTCAGTTTATTTTTAGAACAACAAGGAGTGGAACGTATTAATGAGCTCGAATACAGGATTTAAATGACCGGTCTTTAGTGCCTCTTATGCTACAGCCTCCATTTATGCCCTATTGCTGCTGCATTCAATTGTCGTGAGCGTTTATGACTGAAACGCAAAATGACGGTCGCCAGTAAGCAGCGTGTTTCAATTTAGTAACCAGTAACACTCTACAATATTAACTGCGTTTCAGGCCGAAAAAAAGCTTAGGCAACGTAAAAGTTGATTCCTGGAAATATAATATTTATAAAACCGCGTCAACATTGTTACGGAGTAGGATGATATTTGAGGCAACGAAAAGAGACTAAGTCGAACAACAGTGGAACTGTATCGGAACAAAAAAAACAAGCAAAAGAAACCAATCGGTTTATACAATCTTATGAAAAAGATACGTATACAGTACTGGATATTGAAATTCTTAATAACCCACATGCGGAAGAGACAAAACTTTGAATACATAAAGAACTTACGGCTTGAATATGGAGGGACGAGTGAGTTATCTCTGATGTGGTAAGATGAATGTACTACTTTGGAAAACGACAGATAAAGAAGAAGCACTAGCATTGCACGGACGTGCCGGAAAATCACAATTTCGCGCTGTGTGATATTACTGATTGCAACAAACGAATTCAACTTTTTATTACATACAAATAAAAAGCTATGACCCTTTATTTGCAGAAAAAATCGGAAGGTACACGTCAATTTAGTATGGTTGATTTTATGTACATCATTTTCTTGGGAACTGGTCAATCTAAAAAGAAATGTATTTATTAGTATGTTTTAGGAATCAAATAGTAAGTGAAAGTTTTTGACTTCGTGAGTATCCCCCTTTGCATTTAGTTTGAAGCCCGAAATTGTGTCTTCTGAGCCACTTAAAACTGCCTGGAATCAGATGAAAGAAATTTTCATGTTCACATCAGTTTCACAGAATACTATGCTTCACTCACATCTGTAGTAGGTTAATTCAAAGATATTTAGGTTTTCTTTACTATCAACGCTGCTGCAGACCTTACAAATAAAACAAACTCCCCGTTTCAGTAAGATCATGAGGACGTTTAGATGTTGGAGATCGGAAGTTTAAACTTGTAGTGACGCACGTTTATTACGAGAACACGACTGGTTCAATAAGAACAATTATTATTACAAACAGTTGTACCAGTGTTTGTTTTAATGTGCTTTTGTTTAACTGTGCTAATTATAGCCATTTTGTGCTTCCATTACCTTCCATTGTTGTTCCGCGGTTTTTGCTGCTGTTCGCACGTATTCTGTACTCCTGCTTCCGCTTGTACCGTTCTTGGCACGATCTCGGTATTCATTCGATACCACGAGATCGCCAAACGAATAAATCTGGTTACGCTCAACCTACGCCTTCTGATATTCTTGGCACGTGTATTTTGGTAGCGGTGTACATAGTCAATCTCGACTCGATACCACGCTACAATTGGTGATCCCAAAGTTTGGAACACGCCTCAACCTCTGGCGAAATCTTCCAAAGAAGCTAATTCGGTGAGTCTATAGTTTATCTATCCACGTCTGTCGTATATTTTCATATTGATTTTTAATATATAATATACACGACATGACGGATAGCGACAAGAGTACTATTAATGTTATAGACTCAGACGTACAGGCCATTCACTTTCGACCTGTACCATTCATTCCCCACGACCCAGAGGTTTGGTTTGCTGCATTAGAGTCCCAGTTTGAGACTCGTCGCATTACGAGCCAAAGGCAAAAGTACGCCTTCGCTCTCGAATCTTTACCCGGGGACCACTTAGTAGCTGTTCGTGAGGTCGTCCTCAATTCCAACGTGCCCAATGTTTACGATCGCCTCAAAGAGGCGATTCTCCGATATTTCCTCCCATCAAGGGAGGAACGATTGAGGACATTGTTAGCACGTCACCCCCTGGGTGATGCTAAACCAAGCCACCACCTCACGCGCCTGCAATCTCTTGCAGGATCAACAGCATCTGACTCGGAAATAGTTAAAGAAATGTGGCTCGAGTCACTATTAGCTCATATCCAACCTACTGTGACGGCACTGCTAGAGGACACACCGCTTAACCAGGTGGCCCTCATAACAGACAAAATCTTGGCGAGGACTTGTATTAAAGACAGCTATGTTGTTGCTTCAACGGCACGTCCCAAAGTAGACATGGACGCCAGTCATTCCTCAGCTCATGGCGACAGGGACGGGTGTATCCACACGCGTCTTAATTTTCGAGACCGTTGTTACGTACCCCAACCCTACGTCCCCCGAGCCCACTCAAGTTCTCGCAAACCCGTCACCACTCGCCCAAAAAGGGCATCTTCCAAGCCACGCCGAAAGGCGGTTTCGGAAGCGAGTGACAGTTGGTGCTGGTTTCATAGGTCCTTCGGGTTTGGCGCCCGCCGTTGTCGAGCACCATGCTCATGCAAGTCGGGAAACGCCAGCGCCGGCAAGTAAAAGCGGCCGTACTCGCCGGCCCTTCACTCCAGGTTGGTCGCCTATTCTATGTGCACGATTACCGCACAAACTCTAGGTTCCTGGTAGACACTGGGGCCCAAGTTTCTGTCGTACCACGAGGCAACAGCAAGTCACAAGCCGCAGTGCTTCGACTACGCGCTGCGAATGACTCAGTCATTCCTACCTACGGTACACGACAACTCGCGGTCAACCTGGGCAACCGACGACGGTATCTGTGGACGTTCATCATTGCTGATGTTCCCACAGCCATACTAGGTATCGATTTCCTACAGCACTATGAATTGCTTGTCGATTCACGTAGGCTGCAGCTGATCGATACTTCGTCGAATAACATATTCATGGGCTGTAAAGCCCACATGAACGCGTACCGAATCCTCGGCACTTTTTACTCGCGTGACGATAAATTCCACGCTTTATTCGAGAAATTCCTCGTACTCACTAAACCACTCGAGGAGCTTCCATCGGTGACCAATCGCGTGGTACACCACATAGTCACCCGCGGACCGCCAGTCACGGCACGACCTCGCCGACTGGCACCAGACAAATTAGCTTTTGCTAAGCGTGAGTTTGACAATTTACTAGCTACTGGTATTATTCGTCCTTCTCACAGTCCATGGGCCTCTCCTCTTCACATGGTGCGCAAAAAAGATGGGGTTAGTTGGAGACCATGCGGCGACTACCGAGCTCTAAACGTAGTTACGCGCTTTGATAGCTACCCCATCCCCCACATACACGACATCAGGGCATCGCTCAAGGGCACGACTATCTTTTCTACGATCGATCTGGTACGAGCATATCATCAGATCTCAGTCGCTCTTGAAGATATCGAAAATACTGCTATCACGACTACTTTCGGTTTGTTTGAGTTCCTACGAATGCCATTTGGATTACGGAATGCTGCTCAAACTTTTCAAAGGTTTATCGATAGCATTGTACGAGACCTCGATTTTGTTCACGCCTATATTGATGACCTGCTAATCGCATCATCAAACGTAGATGAACATTATCAACATCTTACACTATTATTTGCGAATGCATGTTTGGTAGTCATGTTTCCAGAATACTTGTGGTATGCAAAATGTACGAGAATAAAGTATCATACGTTAGCAAAAATTAGTATGAAGCAATTTGACACCACTAATGACGAAAGGTCTCTGGAAGATAAGACACATATTCAATAAAGACAAAGGACTCAATAATTCTCCTGAAAGTCATAAACACGTAGTTCATTCAGTATGAGATTTCATCTCATCATGTGTTTTAAGTCAGATGTTTAAAGGCTTGTCTGTTCACCATAGAGGACTTGTAAATGAACGTGATTTCTTAACTTTGGATAGGTTCGTTTCTTCATATCATCTGCTTGTATATGGTAGGTGTACACATGAAATCATGTCGCTCATAAAATTTTAGTTAGAATACAGAAAATCCGCGACCCCATCTAAGATCCAGGGTTTATCGCAACATTTTATGGAAAGCCAATGATCACAAATTACCGATTATCAAAATCACATCGGATAATTTCACGGTTAAAGTCTATGCAAGGTCTCAATTTCAAAAGTGATGGTTAACTATAAATGTTAGGAAATGACAGAAACAATTTGACCCTGGTGAAAGCTTTCCCAGTTGAAAATCTTCGGTTAGTCTCGGGGGTGTTATCGCTTTTGAGAATCTCTTTGATTCCTAGTAGGAAAGTGTACACAAAATCAACAACAGGCACAATCACGTTATGCCCACGTGTTGTAACCATATCACAGTTCGTTCATTCAAGTAAGTCACTGAGCTCCAATGAATCAGGACAACAAAGGGTTTATATTTTCATACCACTCATGGATTAAAGTGCGTAGAATTTATACAATGCACTGAATAACTGAGTGGCTCCGGATTAAAGTTATAAAGTCTAATTTGTAATTAAGAAAATTAATGGAATCTAACTGTGGCAGCATTCAGGTTACTCTGTTCAGCGATAAGATTTTGTGATGATTAGGAGTATTTGAATTATAGTATGAACTAAGAATCCCAGAAATAACGCAACTGGATTATGAAATACTAGATAAGCACGAACGAATGTACTGTAATTGGAATTCGAAACCAAGTATTCAACAAGTGCAAAGGTATCATTAGTTCATTCAAATACCACAAATATGTTCTAGGACATAACACTTAGTAACATCAATGTCACTCGTGTAGATCTATAAGGACTGTAAAATTGGCCATTGGTTAAGGAGAATAGAAACTGTGAGATTAATTCAAGCACCAAGCGATATACCAACTCAACAAATTCGAACCAGCTACGAAGAATGAATATGGTAACCACAATAATTTGTCCGTCAGTGAGATACTATACTGTGGCAAAGATGTAAATATGGCAACCACGAACAAAATAATAATAACAATAATCTAAAATTTAAGGGAATAAACATGAAACTCGCCGATAAAATGTGGTGAAGGATGTTACGTTGTATGTGGGACGTGTATGTGGGATATGTCATTTATGAACGACGGCGTCAACACAAGTACGACATATATTTATGTAAAGATCAAGTTGTAGAGGAACCATGTGATGTGAGTCACGAAACGTCAGAAAATCTAATTTTCTACTCATTGGGATATTACAAATATATTATTTATTTACATGTGGTTTGAATTAATTAACTTAATTATACTGAATGCAGTCTCATCATGGTCATCCTAACTGCCTGTTTTACCTTCCATAGATGCTAGAATTTTCCAGTTTTCGTCGTAATTCCGTCTTTCGAATGTCTTTGACGAGAAATAAAGTAGTCTTCAATATATGATCAAACGATGTTATGACCACATAGTTGATCACTGAAAATGCGTTTGAAATTTCCACAGTGTGTTTCATTCACATCACTACGCACAGGATTTTTATTGGATTGATGGGGGTTTCAAGGCACAACAGAAAAACAGACACATGGTTTCACATCTAATAAACATTTTCACGTTGTTAAGCTTTGAAATAATGTACAAACTGATTTCCAGCGAACGATTATCCCAAAAAACAAACATCTTCATATTTAAGTAATTTGCTCAAACAATTTATCGATAAAATCGTATGACACTTGAGACTCGACCTAAACATAGACCTTAAATCTGAATAGTTATGATATCGTTATTAAATGATCTTAACTTACTTCGAATATAATTCAGGATTTGTATAAATCTTCTTAAATATCTCAACAGTATTTTGACCGTCTTTATGAGATAAAACTGATACTGTTCGTATTTTTGGTGAATGTGGGATAACCATTACATGATGACGTAACGCATCTTGCACACGCTAGATGAATAGAGAAGAAAAAACGGTTAAATACTTAAAATAAACCAGGTGAAGAAATGAAAAATATTTAGTTATGATTATTACATTAGTTTAATTCAAACTTTAGCCCCATGATGAAAGCATTTCATCACAAATAATTTGAAAGAGTATTCAAAATTGTATTAACTAATTTAGCCTATATAATTGGATAATTAGCTTCTCTTCAACAAACCAAGCGTGACTTATTGACTAAAAAATATACATGTGTACGTATCACCAAAACTCCGCCTCTAGCTCTTCTAGAGTTACTGCCGGTCCCAAGCCCGGGTAAAGGAGGAGGGTTAAGCATGGGGTTAGCGTCCCCATCCCCTAGGAAACTAACTCGCTAAAAAACGCTTACGAGAAAAAATAATCCAAACCATTTAAACTCTGCCTTGGGAGTTAGAAGGTCTTCATTTAGAAGAATTATGACGCTTCATGGTGAAAGCCGAGTTCCTTCGGAAGCCACGAGGCCGATGCCCCTTCTAACAACCAGAGCAAACATTTTTGTAGGTACATGGAACGTCCAAACAATGCGGGAGACCAGGAAGACCAATCAAATAACAACGGAAATGAGGAGATACAATTTGGCAGTACTGGGAATCAGCGAAACCCACTGGACCCAAGTTGGACAGAAAAGGCTAGCTACGTTAGAGATGCTGCTGTACTCCGGTCACGAAGAGAGAAATGCTCCACACACTCAGGGAGTTGCTCTAATGCTGTCCAAAGTAACACGAAATGCACTTGTAGGATGGGAATCTCACGAATACAGAATCATCAAAGCAACATTCAAAACAAGGTAGGAGGGGATTTTAATGAATATTATCCAATGTTATGCACCCACCAATGATAGCAACGACGACAGTCAATCATAGAGAAATGCCCAAGAAAGAAGCTCATCATTCTAATGGGAGATCTAAATGCCAAAGTCGGAATAGACAGCACTGGATATGAAGATATTATGGGACAACATGGACTGGATGAGAGAAACGAAAATGAAGAAAGATTTGCAAATCTATGTGCATTCAACAAATTGGTCATAGGGGGCACAATATTTCAACACAAGCGTATACACAAGGCTACATGGATCTCACCGGACCACACTACAGAGAACCAGATAGATCATATTTATATCAACAAAAAATTCCGAAGGACAATGGAAGATGTGAGAACCAGGAGAGGAGCTGACATAGCTTCAGATCACCACCTAGTTGTGGCCAATTTAAAACTGAAGCTAAAGAAGAACTGGACAACTGGACAAACAGCAATACAAAGGTTCAATACAGCCTTCCTTCGAGATACTGACAGACTCAATGAATTCAAGATAGCTCTCAACAACAGGTTCCAAGCCTTACAGGATCTACTGAAGGAAGAAGAAACTACTATGGAAGACAACTGGAAAGACATCAAAGAAACATTAACTTCAACGTGTCAAGAGGTTCTGGGCCTAAAGAAACACCATCAAAAGGAGTGGATCTCTATAGAAACTCTGGACAAGATCAAAGAAAGGAAGAACAAGAAGGTAGCAATTAACAACAGCCGAACACGAGCAGAGAAAGTCCAGCCACAAGCTGAATACACAGAAGCAAACAAGCAAGTGAAGAGAAGCATTAGAACCGACAAGAAGAAATACGTGGAAGAACTAGCAACGACGGCTGAAAAAGCTGCTAGGGAAGGAAATATGAAACAGCTTTACTATACAACGAAGAAACTATCAGGGAAACACAGTAAACCAGAGAGACCGGTCAAAGACAAAGAAGGCAAGCCATTCACTGAAATTCAACAACAGCGGAACAGATGGGTAGAATACTTCGAGGAACTCCTGAATAAGCCGACTCCAACGAATCCACCGGACATCGGAGCCGCACACACAGATCTTCCCATAGACGTCAACCCACCAACGAAGGAAGAAATCAGAATGGCCGTCAGACAAATCAAGAACGGGAAAGCAGCGGGTCCGGACAACATACCAGCTGAAGCACTGAAGTCAGACGTCGAAGCAACTACAAACATGCTTTACCTTCTATTCAAAAAGATTTGGGAAGAGGAACAAGTGCCGATGGACTGGAAAGAAGGGCACCTCGTCAAGATTCCAAAGAAAGGAGATCTGGGCAAATGTGAAAACTAAAGAGGCATTACACTGCCGTCAATACCAGGGAAGGTCTTCAACAGAGTGTTGCTGAACCGGATGAAATATGCAGTAGACGCCCAACTTCGAGATCAATAAGCTGGATTCTCTAAGGATCGATCATGCACAGACCAAATTGCAACACTACGGATTATCGTCGAACAATCAGTTGAGTGGAACTCGTCACTATACATCAACTTCATTGACTGTGAAAAGGCATTTGACAGTGTGGATAGGAGAACGTTATGAAAACTTCTTCGACACTACGGAGTTCCTGAGATAATTGTCAACATTATCCGGAACTCATACGACGGACTACAGTGCAAAGTCGTGCATGGAGGACAGCTGACAGATGCATTCCAAGTAAGGACCGGAGTAAGACAAGGCTGTTTACTCTCTCCCTTCCTCTTTCTTCTGATGGTCGACTGGATTATGAGGACCTCGACATCTGAAGGAAAACACGGATTACAATGAACAGCTGAAAATCAATTAGACAATTTGGAATTCTCATATGATCTAGCTCTCCTATCGCATACACACGAACAGATGCAGACAAAGACAACCAGTGTAGCAGCAGTCTCTGCATCAGTAGGCCTCAGCATACACAAAGGGAAAACCAAGGTCCTCAAATTCAAAGCGGAGAACAGCAATCCAATCATTCTTGATGGCGAAACTCTGGAAGATGTAGAATCCTTCACATATCTGGGAAGCATAATCGATGAACAAGGAGGCTCAGATGCAGACGTAAAGGCAAGGATTGACAAAGCAAGGGTCGTATTTCTACAATTGAAGAACATATGGAACTCAAAACAGCTTTCAATCAATATCAAAGTGAGAATCTTCAATAACAACGTCAAGGCAGTTCTACTGTATGGAGCTGAAACTTGGAGAACTACAACAACCACCATAAAGAAGGTACAAGTATTTATAAATAGCTGTTTTCTCAAGATACTCAACATCCATTGGCCGGATACCATCAGCAACAGCCTTTTGTGGGAGAGAACAAACCAGCTTCCAGCTGAATAAGAAATTAGGAAAAGACGATGGAAATGGATAGAACATATATTACGCAAATCATCAAACTGCATCACGAAACAAGCCCTAACTTGGAATTCTGTATGGAAGCGGAAAAGAGGAAGGCCTAAGAACACATTAAGTCGGATAATAGAAGCAGATATGAAAATGATGAATAACTACTGGAAGGAGCTGGAAAAGATTGCCCAGGACAGGGTTGGGTGGGTGAGCGGCCTATGCTCCTTCACGAGGAGTAACAGGCGTTAGTAAGTAAGTCAGTTCAACAGAGCAGGTATACATCGTTTCTACAGATATGATCAACAGTTTTCAACATCGGTTTGCATATAAGATGCTTCGTAGTTAATGCTATCAAATAGATCTAACCAGTGAAAACAAAGGGCAGTACACTCGTGCAGATGCCCCAGAGAGTTATTATAGGGTTAAAAATAAGCCAATGTGTCGTAAGATAAAATTAATGGTAGGCTCACAAAATTCACATGAATCTTGAAAGCTGAGGAAAAAATATGTGAAAAAGAACCCACAATAACTTGATGAAGACGATATTTTGAGGTAACCTGCCCAGATGATAGTGTACAAGCTCCGTAGATGCAAGATCACTAGTAGTAGGCAGGAGATTGAGAGGTTCACTTGACTACCCTTCAGGATAGTAGTGAATGTCATTTGTGGCCGAGTTAATTTGAGCGGCATCGATAGGTGGAGTATGTTATATGTCTATTCCAAGTAAAAATCAAGGAAGGACATATATTTGTTATTTAAACACGTGAAAATTGGTACTTGGTGGCAACAAACATATAGACGTCACACTTTGTCATTCTATTTGTCTATGAAATATAACTGCAAAGAAAAGCAAAACAAACTAAACTTGGAGTCTGAATTGAATTAGACATGTGGATGGCCTATGATGTCTGAGGAGGCAAAGAAGTGTTCGAGCGTGCTAGATGAATTCAAAGGAAGGCTTCATCATGAAGTTTTACAAACGTATATAACATATCTGCTATATGTTTTCGGAAGAAAATCTCCTCCATACTATTGCACACTTGATAAAAAAGAAGTTTTTCCGTGTTTTTGATGTATGTTTTTCAACTTTAACTGTAGATATATTCAAGGTTCTACATATGTGGAACTTGAGTAGAAACAATATCACAAATGGAGTAAGCAATATGTTTGAAGAGCTCAAAGTAGAGAATCCAATTTGATTTAAGTTGCCTATTCTAGAAAGCAGCAAGCCTTAGAATATGGCATCAGGCGCGATAGTAAATGGGAGAGTCAGCTTTAGGCAATTAGCGAATGAAATCCCGTTGCATTCGCTTCACCTTCAGTACATCAAATAATCACATGGCAGAAAATAACGAATATTGTTCAACGATATATCTTACATACGTCTTGTAAAAACTGAATTTAGATTCAATTTGAAAGAAGTTACGAAAAATGAAGCCCGGTAATTGTCGCATTTTATATGATTCAGTGAAGATATGTAATGTGTCACAAGGTCAGTTATTGACGAGCGTTTAGGCAAAATATTTTCCTTAATTGTTGGTTTTATTTTAAGAGACATAACTCTAACACATAGCCAGCCACAATTCTCTGTGTTAAGTTCTAAGCCGCTACGCTTACTCCAGTAATTAACCTTGTTGAGTTCATGCACAGTAAAAAGTACAATGCAAACAATTTTACAGATGAGCTGTATTTCATCAGCGTAGACGTAGGTGTCATCTATAGTAAAACTCATGCTTCTTGTTTATCTATAGATGACAGAAATCTTTCACTCACAAAATAGCCAATGATTATAAGTGAAAGTTCTTTACAATTTCTGGTGGGATGGTTGACAGGAAACCTAAAATTGTATCAATGCTCTGTTTCAGAACTCATCTACATATTACTATTTAGAATAATAAATAAATAAACAAGTAACTAATTATCTATGCTTACATTCAAACTTCCTTTTAGTTTGTCTCTGTAATGGTACGGAAACCATTTGATTACCTAAAGATGGAATGATTTTAAGATAACGACTGTTACGTTTAAAATCTGGTTAACATAGGAAAGTGATCGTAAGTGATAGACTATGTGTCGCAAGTAGACCTGGTAATCATCTACCGTTACGTCCTCAATACCACAATCTGAACCGGTCAACAACCCTTCTGTAGTTGAAGCAAGCCTGCGTGCCCTAGAACTGGCATCTAGGTATTCGTTTGTAAGTTGTCTACAGGAATTCAAAACGTTTAATAATAATTTAATGTACTTACTGTAATCTATCAAGGTACTCTGAACATATGGATTCGATTGCCGAAGTTGAGAAACAGTAGCGCTTCCACCTTAGCAGATAACAGTGCTTAAGGATAACCATCTGATGCATCCTGTCGATAAAAAACTACAACAGTCAAGCATATAAGCAACATACTTGATGCAAAAGAATGGGTAGTGATTTTTCCGTATACTCACGCCTTGATGAAGCATCTAATTCTTTAACCATGAGGTCTGCCTGGAGAAAAATCGACTGAGGCTCAAGAACCTGCATGGTTTTATGCAAAGCACATTTTCTTTCACGACTAAAGTACTCCAGGTCCTTTGGTACATAAACTGAGCTTTAGCAACATTATCTTGGGTGGTCAAATTGACAAACCCCATTCCTTTGGACGGAATCCCGTAAATCAATTCGCTTTCTTCAATCTGGGCTTTTAAATCCAATATATCTCCTCTTAAGCCATCTTCTTGCTCTTTAATAACTTCCTCATCCATACTGCCGAAATTATAATGTGCGCGTCTACCAACTAAGCCCTAGATACCATACGAAGAAACAAATATTATGATATGTTGCTGAGGGTTAACTCCACTCTTTCAAGTCATCTAGTTGTCTTGTAGTCAATAATTAAGGTTGTGTTTTTGAGTTATTTAGCCACTCGACAATAAATATTTTCTAATAATTTTTAATGGAGGTATTACATTGCTACGTTGTGATTTTCTACCATAATAACTGGGTGAGCTACAATTGACGTGTCCACAGCATGGTGGAGCTGCATTTCAGCCGTAGGACACTTTGCGATTTTCATGTAAGGTAGCAAAAATGATAGCGAACAAAGCACGCTCTCCATCATGGGTTGCAATTGTGTAAACAATAATTCCTCTTCATTTTAGCTGGTTACCAGATACAAGGTCAAAATTGAGGTTGAGATTGAAGTTTATTCTCACCCTGATGTTGACTATCTTTTACTCCAGACTTCAGTTCACAGTAAATAACCGTGTTTGGTCTTAATTCTGAGCTTATCTCCCTAAAACATATAATTTTGAGTGTTCATTTACTACCTGGAGTCTTTTTAACAAAGATCGTGCTGGAGGACGAAGATCACTTAAAAAGGACTCAAATAAAATGAATTGAATCAGTTTTGTTCCAGAGCCATTTTTAGTACTTGGATTACAAGCGGCGGTGTTGAAGATGAAATTTAATTGCACTGACCACTAAACGACAAAGTATTTTGAAACTACAGAGATTTATGGAAATTTTTGGGTGTTAATGAGATCACGAACCTACCCAGTTTAGACAGTCAATAAAAGCCAGGAACCATCGAGCAACAGTTTTGTCCAAGTATATACACCTTAACATCACTCATTCATAGAATATTCAGGTTTAATAGCTTCATTTTGAAATGGTCGCGATATTGCTTTGCCATCTTATACTATGGACTTGAAATCATATCATGTACGGCATTACTGAACTATATTTGTCAAAGCATATCATTGGAATTGTGGAGATATTATTACAAAGCTGGTAGCCAGTAAGCACATGGTGATTATCACTAGATATATGTTTATATGTCGGCCGACGAGCAACAGCTCACCTGTCATATGAATTGTCTTGTCTTATGCTTCATTGCTTAAGTCCACAACTCCCAGTGATCAAGAACTCACCCCAAATAAGTAGCTCTGTGGTCACACAAGCTTTACGCCAACTGTTTAAGTTTTAACTACCAGCTTAATGTGTTCCGCCAAACGTTGCGTACGTATTTCGTCATAGAACCCATGGGATGCCCTTCACTTACAGACAGCCAGCTTGATGTCTCTTCATAGTAAAAGTATAATATAAATAATAGGACTATAGATAGTACCAGATTGTTTGCCATGTATCCCTTCGCAACACTTAATTCCTCCGATCTTCAATTTAACTGAAACTTGTTTAACAAAGATAAATATAATGCTAGCGATTTCGTTTGTATCTCATCAGCTACTTTATTATAAACCTGTCATATAATTATAAGTGGTTACTGTTACCAAATTCAATAAAATGTTTATTTTAACACCTCAAAGATCGCCGAAGCCATGTAAATAATTATCTTCAAATAACAATATGTTACATGGAGCATTCTTGTTTACAGGCGAGATCAAGTTGTAAAAACTGCTACAGGAAATACTGTAACAATTTAGCTAGTAAGAATTGCATGTTATAAGGCAGGCTGATAGATTTTTGTACACAAAAGTATGAATATGGTTAGTGGAATTCGTATGTACAATGGAATTTTAATGGCCCGAGATCTGACTCCAGTAATATCGTACGATTAATTGTTATAGAAATATACATCCTGACTATTCGCGTGTGTTATTATCGACTTGGTACGCGTTGGTGAATAACGGAATTAAATAAGTGGAATACGAGAATGGATAGTTGAATACATATGCAAGACTCGTCAGCCAACTCCATTTAATCAAGTGCCAATCAATATATATAGCCAGATAAAAATGGGTTACAGACATTTTATGAATAGGATAAGAAGTGTACACACACAGTCAAGGTTGATAAGTGGACGAGTGACAAGGTCAAAACGTGACTCAAGAAGAATTGATAAACTGACCCGTTCAGAGGCTAGGATAAGTTATATTGGCTTAACATAGTACCCAACACTAAAGAATAATCAAGGTGTGATTATTTGTATTTATTTATGTCATTAAATCAATTTTTCGTAAATTCATTTCCATAGGTCAAAGAAAACAAAGCAAAGTACGTCGACAAATGGATAAATTACCGTATGAATGGAATAGGTTCAAAAGAGCTGGAAGTTTAAGACTATGTATACTCCCGAAAATACAGTGTTTTGATACACAAATGACATTTCCATGTAAACTATTATTATCCTTCTTGTTGTAATTTTTGTGGTGCTATGAACGGACTCCTATTCAGTGTGGTTGTCCAGTTTGGCTTGTGATATTACTTCTTGGTAGGAAGTGAAACCCTCTCACAGTCGTAAAAATTAATCAATGTAATAGCTTACATCTGATGTTTTAATTCTGACGTTGACCTACATTGCAGTTCTCTTAGGTAAAGTGTTTACACACCATATCTATCTAGTCTGTAACATCACGGTGAGAGCAAACGCGAAACTCGCCGGACGAAATAGGTCCAATAAAGGCCACGAATCTTATTTTTATTTAAATGAACGAACCTTTATAGTTTTAACACTATGCCCTCGTTAACAAATCGTTATAGACAAAGGCTCTCGGTCAAAATTAGTGTCTGTTTCATTGCGTGTAAAAATGACTGTGATATTGAAGAAGTAGTTTCGTCTGTTTGCACGAAAATCCGTTTATTCAAAGTGACCGTACATAAACATGTCAGGAACCGTATTTGATGCTTATGTATTTCAGGGTTAGTGAAGAATGTATGCGGAAAAGTAAGAAGTGATGGCCATTCTATTTAATATGAACATTAATCTGAGATTGCCGTTTGTCTGTAACCATTGATCAATTATTGTCCCGTGTAGGCCGTTTGTGTTTTCGATTTCTGTTAACAAACATAGATTTTGAATATTTTTCTCATCCTATTCCTCGGTTTTGTCAGGAAGGTTTAATAAAATGTTCTTTATTTTGAATATTTAGTCACCATACTAACAACTGAGGAAGAAAATGAGAGACACTTCTACCCCCCTAATAGAGTTATTGCATTGATACATCATACATTTTTCAGCACTAAATTTCACCCACTTAACTTTCGTACTTTTGGCTGTGACTAGATAGGGATACTTACAAATGATTCCGTTTTTAAAAGTAGACGTTGTAACCTTCAGTTTGTTCATGACTTAGATACTATTCTTATTTGATCGGCATCTGTATTATAGTCAGAAAATGAGCTTTTCCCAACGGTGTGAACGTTATTGGTCTCCATAGCCTTCCGAGATTTCATACAGTGTCCTGATTCTCGTATTTCATGATCATTTGCTCATATATCCAGTGGTAACAATCTCACTGGATGACCGATTTGAGACTCTCGTGTTGTTCTGTTTCCAATACATCGTTTTATCAATATCACGTTTCTTATCAACGTTTGACATCACTGGATACCAACACTGTACAATTCTTTTGCCTTCTAAATAACATCAATAAGGCTGCAATTAAACGCAACTCAATTTCGTAAATGTGCCCTTCTGCTTAGTAACCAATCAGAATGAGGCGGGAAATGTTATATCCGCCATCCTTATAAGCTCAGTGTTGTTAGTGCTAATCTCGTCCTCTTTAGTAATGCAGTAGGAAACGTTGCAAATGAAACATTGAAAGAAGTGGCAGCACAAACACTGTGATATTTTTCATAGAACAAACCGTAGTAAATTAAATTAGTAGACAAAAATTTATCCAACAACTGTTACTAGAATGAACAGTCATTTAAAGTACTTTTGTTGTGAACATATTCGAAATCCCGTATCATGGAGCGCTTTGTCTAAATATTATTATTGAGAATGATTTATGCTAATCGCAATAGTCTTTTGAGTAATCTATGTTGTGCAAAGGCACTATTTCAAAACGAAATCAACGTGACATCCCTGCCTAATTAGGCTATTAATAATAATGATTTAGTGAGATTAGGGAGTAAATCGATGAAACAATAGTTGTTTGACACTGCAGATTTTTTAACGACTAATATGGGGAGTTTATCCATATTTTTTGTATAAACAAGAAACTACATGTACAGGATATGATATCCAACAGACAGAATACTTATAATCCCAGTTGGTATATTCATTATTGATGGGTGATCTTATCCGCAGCGCAACCATGTAAACTTAGTGTATCGCACACTGTCATTTGTGCATTCAAGTAACCACAGATTTTGTCATTTCATAATGTATTTTTAATTAAATAACTAGACTATGTTGTTAATTTTGCTCTATTTTTAATTTTTATTCGCCACGTCTGACTGCGTTACACTGCAAGTCCATCGCACGCTGGGATGATGTCTCAAGTTATAGTGAGTTTATTGACATAGTTGATTGTTTCCAGATAGATTGTCAGTGCATGAGTTTATTGAAGAAAGGTTTGTTGTACTGTAAACTATGTTTTTATGAACAACTGCCTGTTGTCTTCTGTATCAAAGCAATATATATTTCTTTTGTCTTCTGTTAGGTAAGGTCAACTGGCGTATATTTCGTGTTTTGGTTCTATCGTCTTAATTATGTCCATTTAACTACTTTAAGCAACATGTCTGTGCACATGAAATAATAACTATGACACTTGCTTACTTTAGTATTCTTGGTTGTCATATAATTCAGTTTAATTGAAAGAAATATGGTATTGTAGCGTGGTGTCGAGTGGATATTGACTATGAACCCCGCTACCAAGAAGCTCGTGCAAAATGACTCCATAAAATCCCCGAGAAGCCAAACATCAGAAGGCAATTAATGGGCCAAATCGAGATGTATTCGCTGGCGACTTCGTGGCATTGAAAGGACACTAAGATCGTGCCAGGATACAAGCTTGGT